TCCAATTCCGGACATATGCAATTACCGTAGTATATATCAAAATAGGAAGAATGTACTGTGGACATTTGGCGGTTTCGTTTTTGAAATAAAAGTTTTCCACTCAACATTGAGATATATACCAGACGGTCCCTCACAGTCAAGTTTTGAGCCTTAATTTATTTTAAAATTGTCACAGAGCAAGATAATATACTGCGAAAAAGGATATATTCAGCTCTCCTGGCCAGCCAACTAAATGTGCCCTTCTATGCCTTAAATGGGACGAAGTGCTAGGTGCCAAGTGTTGTGGCCTAGGTGCAGTAGGATTGCTGTACCAGCTTCGTTTGAAGATGGAGTACACTCCGACGACCCAATTGGTAAACACACCTTGAAACGTGCATTTTGACAATTTTCCACATCTGCTACGGTAAATCTTATCTGCCCATTCCGAGAACTGTTCTGTAGACCTTTAAATATCAAAAGTACGACTAAGGGTAGAAGGAAGAAAGATCCTGTGAGATATCCATACACTAAAAAAGATTGTCGTAGACTGTCCGTACTGACAATTTTTTTTTGTTAATCGGTTACGTCCTTGGATAAGTAAAATAAGAACACGAGTTGCTGCAGACACATGAAAATTGAAGAGAAAGACTAGAACAAACATCAAGATTCAAAGATACCTTTATGACAGTAGGCTATACCTGCGAGGCACTCGGCGATATGATTTGATATCAATTGTTTGATCTCATTTTCGACTAAGTAATACCGGGCAAAGCGTGCAATGAGCCTATTGCACTCGATTTCGATACAGCCTGCATTGATAATGGGTATCATAATTTGAAGTTACACACTTGACAATTGATTAGGCTATGTAATTCATATTATGTATATGCAAAAATTCTCACACTATTGACTTACATCACTATGATATCCACAACATTTTCTGAGATGAGATAGAACAGCACTCGCAGAATACGAGAGAAATTGGGCCGTCCACAAAGTGTATTAAGCTGCATAGACGAAAGATAAAGTTGCGATCGTTTACAGATCAGAGAAGTATAATACTTTTCTGATAGAGAAGATCAGAAAACAACGTTAGAATATGTACTCTCCTTATCCAACGTTCTATTGTCTATGATATCTGATTGCATACACTGTAGAAAACTAGGTGAAAGACTGAACCAACCACTCTAGTACGAGGTTGGTTGATTCAGTCATTTACCTAATTCAATACAACACAACGCACTATGTAGCCGTTATCGACACTTTTTATCAATCTGTACACGTGTATACTGATAAATATGTCACTTTATCGCGTGTACACGTGTTGAAAAAGGAGAAGAGATCATTTGATTGATATTATACGTGTCTAGAAATTATACGAGTAGATAAAGATATAAATTCACATGAATCGGGAGGTGTCATACATATATATCAATACCCGAAGAAGTGGATTCAGCTTATTGATCATGGTGGATTGATCTATTCTAGCTATATAGCCTACTTGATGTCAGTTCTATGTGCCAATATCGTGAGTGTCATATGTAAAGACACAATTGTGCGGGACAAACTCTTCGAAAATATTGATAGTGCGAAAGTTACTCATCAACCACTAATCAATACACGCGCACGCACACACAATACAAGTGCCTCACTACTAGTTCAATTTACAGATTGTGGGTGCAACAGCGATAAACCAATGCTTGCCAAGATGATACATATAGCCGCAAACAACCTGGTTGCAATGTTGATTACACAGTATAAGAAAATAAAATTAATGAAAAGATCTAAGATAAAACAGCACGTACGAAAAAATAAATGCGGAACTTACAAGTGACAGTAATTGGGGTATCTGACGAGACATTCGATCAATGGCGTAACGTGTCCACCATGAGCTATGATAATCATGCTGTCGAGCTTAGAGTATAATTTGAAGTTTTCCGGTCCGTGGGCTAATGTTGCCAGTATGAGAGAGAAGTGTGTATTGGCCAGAAGCTTAAGTTTCATATTTCATGCTGAGGCCCGCATCCGTGACATCATCATCATCAACGCGTTTTCACCTCTGCTACTGTAATAGCCGGGCCTCCACATTAGACTATGTTATAAGCGTACTCTTAGGCAGTACGTATACTAAAAACGTACTCTTAATAGTACAAGGAACTTGAGTTTCCTAAATGGTTTTTAATGGTTCTATTAATTAATACATTTTCCATTTTACATATCAGATATTTGGACAAGGCCATTAAAAGGCCCCAGTAAAATACCAAACATAAGAGTTGGTCTAGTTCTATTAATAGAACTATATTTACTTTCCAAATTTATATATATCGGAATACTTCGGTAGCGAGATGGCTCAACCGAATATAGGTTTTTAGGGACTATTAACGTTACATAGTTTATCCTCCGATCAGCCAACCAGATGTGCTAGTCAGATCAAGGCTAAGTCGGTATTTCTTGATAAGTGGAAAGTTATTGGTTAAGATAATAGCAAAAGACGTCAAGAGTACTTTCTTTTTCTTTTTACTATTTTTTTTAAAGATAGGATTTTATGAGTCTCTCGGATTCGCCCCAACGAAACATACCATAGTTTCTAATAGAGCGACTACGGAACCTAAATAAATTCCCTTCGGCGAAAACATTACTGAGAGGATTATATATAGGCAATGTCTCAGCCTCACAACCCCTCAGAGTATTGCTGTTTTCACGAGGCATACCCAACTTTACTAAAAGACTCTTCGTTTATTTACTTTGAAATTATCACGATACTTGGATTTTACCTACGCGTTTAAATATTCTAAGGCGTTAATATCGCCTTGAGAGACCGAATCTTACACTACTTATGGCTCGTTCACCAGAAGTACGTTGTCGTAAAAATATGCCACTATCTGATCGTCCTTTTAGAAAGGCTGGAGCACATGTATTTGGATTGGCAATGTAAACTTCGATGGATATTACTAAGTTTCAAACTACGCTCAATAAACTGATATACAATTGAGGTCAGTTAAGATTTAGCAATGGTAGCTTGTGTAAGAATGATCGGGACTGCCTCTTGGTAAGAGCCTTAATATCCTCGATTACAAAGAACGTACCTCTAGTTGTTCTTTATTGAATAGTTTTCACTAGAAGTACCAAGTGTTCATGACCACATGCCTATTTTGTAGATACGTACCGAGTGTTCATGAACACATGCCTATTTTGTATAAGGACATAAGAACGTAAGTCACGTTAATACATTAGCTAATATAAATAAGGTTCCATCTGAAGAAAAGTTATAAAGAAAGACATTGAATTTTGGAGATTAGCGGGAGGACCATATCCTGTGAGTAGTAGTCCAGAGATTATAAACCTGTTTTTAATATCTTACATTGACAAATGTCTCAAATCAGTCCAAGTAAGTGAGTCATACCAAATACTCAGGCTATTGGAGCCATCAAAGCTAATTTAGAACACTTTGGAAATATTGTAAAAAGAACGAGTATTGAATTATTTTAATAAAAACCAATGTGTATCTCATTTGATCTTGATACTTTAGACTGACCGGGGGCCATGTTTCTACAGTAAGTAGGATTATCTTCGATATTTCTTCACCCTCGATTATATCCATAGTCACTTGCAGGAACAACAATCGATCGTCGTACTCCAATTTCTGCTAATTCCTGGGCCGGCCTCTGACGTTCCTTGTGCGGAGCATACGTGTCACCTCAGTGTTCTGCTGCCTAGGCTTGAACAGCTACACTTCTGCCCTGATTGAAGAGTTTTGCACAATGCCCAGAAGTTTGCATAATATTCTGTTCCATTCGGGTGACTGTTGACTAATTGTTGATCCTAGATCGCAGCTTGAACTCCACTGAAAGCTGACTTGGCGGATTATCAAGGCGACACAGTGATTGCAGCCCGCACTAATTTGCTCTTTCGACTTAAGAAATAGAGAGTAAGCTTTGGTTGCCGTACACTCGTTCCATGCCCGAAACCATGACGTCAGGAAGGTTCGGTCGGCATCGTCAAGGCGCTTCCATAATCTCAAATGTTTAATAATACTATGTGTGTTACTGCTGGAAGTGTGATTGTTACTTGGCTCAAAATTAATAGGCCAGTTCGTCAAAAGTAAATATTGTTGTAGGTATACTTAAACGTCTCCTGCTAGTTAAGAACAATCAGTCTAATTGTAGTTCTCAACACAGAAGGATATCAAACAGTTTATTAGACAATTCTCCGAGCTCGTCCAGCATGTTTGCTCGGATATTCCTACTGTGTAGCATTTATGTATATCTCCTCTGGTCTACTAAGAATCTATCACACCCTATGTTGTGCTGTATACTTCTACTATACACACTATGCTGATGCTGTCTTCCTCGACAAATTCCTTTCTAAGTAGTTCTCCCTTCCTTCTAGTGATTAATCAATCCTTCCGTACAGCATAGTGTCGCCCTGGCATCCTCATACTCTATCACCCTGCCATATCAGCTCCATCAAGTAGGCTGTATCTATCAGCTCACTAATCACCTTGACAGCCCTTCTGAACTTCTGTGGTAGACCCCAGCTGTTCGGTATCAAAGTATTTAGTATGTATTACAGTATGTACATAGCCTTCTAAATTGACTCCCCTGAGCGGAAAGAAGTCTAGCTTTAATCTAATATCGAAGCCCGTGTCCAGAACGACAGGAGAGCAGCTGTACGAGTATACTAGGACGGCGCTATTGAAGGCAGAGGAAGTGGGTGTTGAAGTCGTTCCCATAATCTTTGATGGGAGTAGCGTAAACCGTAAAGCACTACGTCAATTGACGCTTGAATATGTGTCGCCTGAACCAGATGGACATCCTTTACGATTGCCACAGCAACAACTACCCTTATTTATCGACCAACCGGATGGATCCCGCTTCTTCCCCATGTTATGCTTGATACACATAATCAAGTGTGTTAGAAATAATATGATAAGAAAGAACCATATATTTAAATATCACAAACTTGAGCTACGAGACGGTACTGTGTTGCCTGCAGGGGAGTGTAATATCGAATTCGTGCGCATGGTTTATGAGAGAAATAAGGGAAAGCTGATATCAAATGTCCGCATCAAACGAATTACTGTAAGGCCGTCAAATGTGGAACGTCAACAAGTCGCACCAGCACTACTGCTATTTTCCGAAGATATCACCGCAGCTTTACGACGAACATTTCCAGGAGCTTCTGGCACATACAATTTCCTGAAAATAATAAACGATCATGCGATCATGCCATTCAACCTTTTTTCGTGGTTAGTGTCGGTAAATCAAAGCGTAAGCGAGATGCTAGGTGTGCACAATTTACAAGTTCAGACGATATACGCCTATTGAATGCGGATAAGATAGCACATTGGGTTTAATTTGACTGGTACGCAAATATAGTACACGATCATCCACAGGCTGCACAAGAATTTATCAACGTGGACGAAGATGATGATGATGAGGAACTGGATGATGATGAGGACCTGGATGCTGGCTCCGAGGTGTGACAATACACGCAAATATAATTGTAAATAATGATCATATTCGTTCTAGATGATAATCTTCGTAAAGCAAAACTCATTATGATTCTTTGGCATATACAATTAATATCTAGGTACAACTCAACGCAATGCTTGGTGATCTATTAGACGTCAATACTGAGCTCCCACCTTCGACTGATTTGGGGCCAGGTGATCAGATCCACTCGAATATCAGTACACAAGCAGAAAGAGAAACACAATCATCATCAAATCGAACAAACACAGATACTCAGACACCACAACAAGCCAACACAACCGCGCAAAAGAAAACAGGTAGGAGATTGATACCTGATGGTCTCACTCCTGAGAAATTTTACACATTTGCACACACTCTACGTGGTCTATCGGAATGTATTCGGTATCTACTACCAACTAAGAAATTTACGTATGTGCTACTTCGTCGCTTAAATAACGATCCAATTGAGCGTAGTTTCTCTGTAGCACGCTCAATGGCCGGTGGGAATAGACATCTAGATATACCCGCATATGTTCTGGGGCAACGCACTTTACTAGTGCGCTCAATGTATAAAGTATGTACTAACCCAGACAAGTCACTGTTTGAAGGATTAGAGGAAATGACATCTAAAATTGAAGATGTAAGAATGAAGAGGCTACTGTACAACTGTAAACATCTTCAACATCACAACGGCGACAAATTAGCAAACGAGTCCCACAAGATAGTACTCTTGCATATATTGCGGGCTATGTAGCTTTTAAGTTTGTAGAGAACTCTAAAGTTGATTGTGCTGTATGCATAAGTTCTGTACGTATAGGTAAAGGGATTGACGACGATGGTAAGATGCTTATCGAGTATCGCACTGATCTGATAGACGAATTGTGCAAGAAAGGTTTGTCGTATCCGACGGAAGAGACTATGTATATGGCTGGTGTACTTTTTGATGTTGTCGATCGTATTATCAATGACAAAAAGGCTATGCACTACTTAAATGAAAGTGCATGTGCGAGTAGGGTTGCATTGCATGCGATAAAGCATATGATGCAGGTGAGGATTATGTTTACAAAGCATCTTAATTCGTTTCGTGATACGTCCATGTTGTGAAAGAGATCGATCAACTGTTGTCATTGCACCGTTATTTAATAAATTTTACACATAGCGTGCAACAATGTGCCCCTTTTACTAAACAGAAGAATGACAGCAACAGCAATTATCCTTAGTATGGTAAAAAAAAACAAGAAACAAGGGTGTACGGTCATACTTTCACAACAAAACACGCCATCTCCATCGATGGCGTCGTCAAGACATTACCTTCAACCGGAGAACAGTTGTAAGCGGACCACTACGGAATGTAGGAGTGTGCTCAGAAGTGTGGGCGTGGTGCTTCAAGGGTCTCTTGAAGCACTCAGGGGGCGAGTGGTGCTTCTGCTAAAACTACCGAAGGTCGGACTGTGATCTGCACTATCTTGTTCTAAACCTGATGTGAGAAGATATTTGAACATGTTGAACCTGTCGGTGGAGGGATCCTATGCTATTATGTTACATAGAGCGCTGGGGTCGCACTCTACCAAATCCAAATAGCAGCAGAGAGAGCGGCGGTTTAGTGCGTGCAGCATTGGCAAACGAGGACGATGCGTGAAGTGTACGCCTGTAAGTGTGCATATTAAATTAAAAAAGAAGAAAAGAGCTCAAAACCAAGATTTCCGTCCTCAGAAAGCGTGTTTGCCACTGTTTGGCTTGTCAATTTGAATTTACTATTTAGTATCATAGTCACTTTTGACTTCAGAGTAGTAAATAGTAGTCTAAGTCTGTGCTTTGCATACATTCTTTAACCAATGAAAACGTTAGTGGCTAACAATAATGAGTTATTGACTCTTCAGCGGCCTGATGAGTCATGTAATTTGAAATTGCACTGCGGACGTAAATATTAGGGGCGATAGAGGGAAAAATATTTTTTTCTTTGAAAACTTTGAACCTCGTCGGGCCTCGACTACTTATGCACCGGTTAAATACCGACTTTCACGGTTTCACCGGTAGCGATAATCATATGTATTAATATAGGGCAATAACTACATAAACGTTTAGTATAAACGTTTACCTTTCCATAGTTTATACGTTTTAGCGCAACACGTATTGACTATTGAGGCTGAGGAAATGGCGTTTTAAACTTGTACAGTCACAAAACCCAAATTTGTCAGACCCTACTTTAAAAAATACAATATGTACATATTAATAATTCATATTGGGTAATAAAAAGCTATGTACGGGGGTATAATATACTATTTTTAAAGCACAGTCATGTCTGCGCGAATGGAATGCTGAAGACGACGATCAGACAAGAGGCATAGCACACCAGTGTATTTAATAGTTAGCACGTATTCTATCTTGGGCATTCGTAGTGAAAGTGCTGCTAGAAGATAGCGCATACAACTGCTGTTGATCGAATACGTATAGACGGAAAGAATCATAGTAGAGACATGAAGATTAAGTATCTGGAGAAACGAAGTGATGAGCAGGATGTATTGCTCAGTCCTCTTTTAGTACCGGTACTTGCTAATGATGTAACGCAACAGTTTAAAGCGACAGTAGGCGAGGAGCCCGATACTCCACTGATTGATAAGAAGAAGTATGTTATGTACATGTGTATATCTTTGTATGCATGCAAACATATTCACCATATTAGTACGATACCTTGCTTTTCTCCGTTTTCTTTTGGGGTATTTATTTTATTCTTCGTAGCTGGCGGTGCATAACTACAAAGGTGGCACAGCATATTGTCACAGTCATAATAGTGTCCCGCTGCTTATTCTTACATTATGTTCTTGCACCAGTGTTTGCCTATATGCATGCATACTTTCATACAAATGTTGATCAACAGTGTGAATCTTAACACTTGAGCGTGCTGAATCAATTGGTATTGAAATTCGAATGGGCTTCTCGGTGTACGAAACGCAATTTGAACATTACCACTCCTACAATGTTCTTGTGCTACAAAAGATTCACAACCTAGTAGTGTTGGAACTTGTCATGTATATATATATATAT